GTAATGGAAAATGAAGCACTTGGCAAGGATGCCTTTGAACTGGCATTGCTGCAGGCAGCCTTAAATTGGTCGGGAAATTGGCTCCTTAGACCCTCCTAAGGGCTGATTGTGTCCTGTGTCTCTGCCAGTGATCTTATTATCTTTACAGTTTACAGTGACCATAGCAATGAACTTGGCTTTGCCTCGAGTTCTTTCACAAAAAAGTTTTATAAAAAAGTTCCTTCATAGTCAGAGACAGCCATTCCCACAAATATTATATTCCTCTGGACAGATGGTCATGGGACCAACTTTTGCTCCTGATGTAGGGGGACAAAGAGAGGAGAGAGGCTCTTTGAGTGACATATTTTATATTTCATAGATGCCGGAGACTTTGATAGCGTTATAGAACAGACAGCGTCCGTCAGTGCAATGCAGATATGTGCCAATACAGACACAGGGACTTGCATTTGCTGGTCCCCAAATTAATGCTGGTCAGGTGACCAAGTAGAAGTCGTTTCCCTTCTCACAGTGAAGCATGTACAGATACCCAACTGAGTACTGATTTGTCTTCCCTCTCCCGAGGTACTTGGTAGGGATCCTAAGGGCCCTCTGAGGCTGCTCACTCACACGCACCTCCCCATAGTATCTGCCAGAGCCGAAGGCCTGCTGACCAAGAACAAAACATCAAGATTCTTCAGTACTGTTAGCCTGCTTTGGACGGTCATCTCCATGCCTTACACTCTTCAGATCATCAGATACAGTGACATAGGGACTGGCGGTTGTAAGATCCATAGTGATATTCACTCTGAATTTCTTCAGCACATCCTTCATCCCAGTGACAGAAGATTCTCTTTAACTCTGGGGTGATAGACTTGGGCCTTTCAGAAAGCAGTGGATCACTTGTTTGCAACAACTCTTTGTCTTCCTGAAGGAGTACCAAATCAGGTCTGCATCCTGCTTCATCCATCTCTCAGATGGCATCTTCCATGCTTCTAAAATGCTGGTGCATTCTATTATAGTAGCTGCCCATTAGCTGGAAAGCTGCTGATTCATCACTCGTCACCACATCTAGGCATCCGAACTCTTCTTCATACAGTAATCAATACATTCTCACATATTGTCCTCAGATCAGCTTTCTCAGCTTAATTCATCTATCCTTCTGGGAAACATTAAGTTCCTTCAATTACTTGATCTTCTTTCTCAAATGAGGTACACTGTCCTCGAGTTACATTGTCCTAGAGTTACACTGTCCTGGGGTTTCTTCCTATGGTTCTGAACAGCCTCTTCAATGGGGAGAAAAAGGTTGGGTCACATTCACCTGAGCTTTATTCAGTCATTTTTCAGTCCTGACTCTTCATGACCCCGTTTTGAGTTTTCTTGGCAAAGATGTTGGAGTGGTTTGCCATCTCCTTTTCCAACTCATTTTACAGATGAAGAAACTGAGGCAAACAAGGTTTAGTGACTTGCCCAGGGTCATACAGCTAGTAAGTGTCTGGGGCTAGATTTGAATCGAGGGAGATTAGCCAAACCCAGTGCTCTATACATGATGGTACCTAGCTCTCCTTAGTACAAGCTACACAGAGGGAGGCCTGATTGTCCTTACAGATCTTGGGGACTTGCTGGTGCTTTTGACAGCAGTTTTGACAGTGTTCTGCAAGTTCTGGGGGTTGAACTTCTTGCAGATGGCAGCCAGCTTTGATAGGTGTTCAAAGAGGCCAGGGAAGTTCTGGAAGACATCCCTGCATTCAGGGCAAGAGAAATGTGTGCCCCCAGCCACCATTGAGGGTGATAGGCTTTGAGGAAAACATCAGACAGAGGCTGCAGGAGGTGTCCTGCTGGATACTTTGGACCAGCATGACAGCATCCATGCTCCTTTTCTTGAGGGTTTTCTCTAGCCTGGGTCCCATTGCCTTAAAGCCAAGTTCTCTCCTCAGAGACCTCAGACCTTTTCTCTCCCCTTAGAGCCTAGGCTTCTTCCTCTGAAGATTTCAAGGAACTTCCATGGCTCCTGGTTTGCTCCAACACCTCAAATCCAGAAACTTATCTTGAAAAAGCAGAGCTTTCAGTGACTGAGTCAATAAGCATTTATTAAATTCTTCCTATCTGCTGTCCTAAAGGCTGAGGATGCATATACAAACAGAAAGACAATCCATACCCTTCAAAAAAGTTCGTTTGTGGTCAGAGACAGCCATTCCCACAAATATATTCCTCTGTTTTTGTTTTGCTTTTGTTGGTGAGGCAATTGGGGTTAAGTGACTTGCCCAAAGTCACCCAGCTAGTGAGTGTTATGTGTCTGAGGCCAGATTTGAACTCAGGTTCTCCTGACTCCGGAGCCAGTGCTCTAGATGGTCAAGGGACCAACCTTTGTTCCTGGTGTAGGGGGACAAAGAGAGCAGAGAGGAGAGAGGCTCTTTAAGTGACATATTTTATATTCCATAGATGAGAGAGACTTTGATAGCATTACAGAACAATCTATACCCTCAAAGAACTTACATTCTAGTGAGGAGGAACATAAAAAATAAAACTAAGCTGAAAATGGCGGGAGGGCATACATGTGAGAATGGTAGAGAAAGTCCAGAGAGTCAGGGGCACAGCCTGCGGAGGAAGGTGGTTTCCTTAAAATGGAGTTCTAGGAGGAGCTGATCAGAGGAAGGGGCTGAAGGGGCCTGGTATACTCCAGTATAAGAAGTCCAGGGGTGGAGTGGTCTTTCAGAATGAGGAGGCATCAGAAATGTGATAGAAAAAGTTCAGAGAGGTGCCTGGAGACAGAGGATGGGATGGGACAATTTGGATGGAAGTTGGACTGAAGGAAGTGGGGACGGAACAATCATAGGCATGGGTACAAGGTGTGGCTATGGTTGGAGCCCTTGCAATCTCTGGAGCAATTCAAAGCCACGGGGGCCATCAAAGTAATTTTGCTTTTTTCTCAGTATTGCTAAGTGCCACTGGCAATGACTTGAAGAGTTCAGAGTTGCCTTTTCTAGGACGTTTTTCTTAGTTCCACAATAGAGTCTCCATAAAGGTCCAATATTTCCCCAACTTTGCTGGGAATTTTTGATCCCTGCTTTGACAGGTAGTGTTGGGCATTCACTTAGAGCTACAGAGTTACCTCTGCTACTTATTTCACTCTGAGGTACACCATCTAAAAAGGGTTGTGATTAATTAAACAATTAAAATTAAACAATTAATGCTTAAGCATATTTTCACCATACCTATGATTTCTTTTCTAAATAATGGATAGATTTTCTTTTAGATGTACTAATATTTTTTTGTGGCATCTAGGTGGCCCAGTGGACACAGCACTGGGCTGGCAACCAGGAAGACCCCTCTTCCTGAGTTCAAATCCATTCTTAGACATTTACCAGCTATGTGACCCTGGATAAGTCACTTAACCCTGTTTGCCTCAGTTTCCCTAAAATGAATTGGAGATGGAAATGGCAAACCACTACAGTATCTTTGCCAAGAAAACCTCAAACAGGGTCATGAAGAATCAGATATGACCGAACAACAACAAAAATACTTTTTTTTTCCCTGACAGAAAAGGCAGAGCATCCTAGAAGCCAAAATTTCTCATGCATTGTAAGGATGGCCTGATTTTCCTAGCAATCATAATAATCTACATTAGTCATCATGGTGTTTTAACATTTAGAAATTTTAAAAAGTTTATTACTACCTATATGCAACACAGTTAGTCATATGCTTTCTTGCTTATGATATGCAAGCAGCACTTTTCTCAGTATCTTGGAATAGCATAATTTTAAATGAACATCTTTCTTTCCAAGGAAAGGGTCTTAAAGAACAACCTGCTATGCATAATGAATAAACTAATGAAGCATAATTTATTAAGTACCTCTTATATATCAAGTATATATACATATGTCTAGTATATGTATATATATATCAAGTACATACACACATATATATACATATGTCAATATATGTCAAGTATTATTATGCTGAGCACCTGGGACACATATGCAAAAATTAAGATAAATACCTGCCTTCAAAGAGATTACATTCTAATAGTGGAGACAGTACATGGTGGGGAGTGAAAGGATATGGTTTGTAAAGTTATAGGAGTAATAGGTGGAATCATAGGGCAGCACATTGATACACTGATTCCAGAAGCAATGAGAGTTGATTTAATTATGATTCCAGAACTGGAAGAAATGGAGGGGAGTAGGAAGATAGTGGCACGTGGTGAGGAAATGACTGGAGAATGCAGTGTAGAAATAGGTCCAGATGCAGTGGGTGACTGAGGCAACCACAAATCTAGGTAGTGTGGGCTCCAGGGTGTGAGTTCCAGGCATAAAAGGGTTAAGTCCAGCAGGGCCTGATTTCTGGTCTGACTGGCATGGCAGCTAGTTAGCACATACATAAGAAGAAGAGTCAGAAGAGTCAGAAGCCAGATCTAGCAAGCATTGCTGGCTCTGACAGCAATAAGCTATGTAAGCCTGGAAAACTCACTTACATTTTCTGAAAAAAAAAAAAAAGGACCTACTACTACATGCCTGACGTTCTCCGTGTCTAATTTTGAAGAAAGCACTTAGTAAATTCTAGCACATTAGAAACCATCTTTATTCAAATTGTCAGTAAAATCTTCAGAAAACATACAAATTATCTTCTATTTGAATATAAAGGCACAGTATACTTCATGTGTTTTTATTTTTTTAAGATGACCTCTTGGGATAAGTTTTAAGTATTTTCAGTAGTTTCAAATGATGTTCATCCATTCAATGCCAACAGATCTGGAGAAAAGTTCCTTGCAGCACGTCTGGTGGACTCCTGGAGGTGGATTTATGGGACAGTCATTGCAATTAGTATTTATGGGTTGCAATTGAAGGGAATACCCACATTAATGAGATCTCAGATCTATGGTAACATATAAGTTTCAAATAATGAGACCAGCTAATGAAGAATTGTGCCAGGGAAGAAATATAAAACAACTACAATAGAAAAGAAAACAGTAAAAATGAAAATATAAGTGGAGTGTCATCACCAATTTTTGTTTTGTTTTCTAGATCAGGAAGTGTCCTGCACCACTGGAATGAAATCTACTATTTTGTGGAACATCTGGCCCATAAATTCATAAGGTGAGAGAGACATTCCTCCTTGTTTTATCTTATAATTATAAATGAGTTATTAGCTTCTGACATCATGTTCTCTGGAGAAATCAGGCTGGGTAATAAAGCCAGATGCTTTTCTTTTCTTCTCCCTTGTTTGGATTTCAGTTCCCATAAGATCCATTAATTAAAAAAAAACAACTTTGAATTTTTGGGGGGTCATCATTGAACAATTTTGTCAGCTCAAAGAGGACTTCTCTCAAAACTGATGTTTCTGAGATTTTCAAGGGATTGTTTCAGTTAATACCCACTTCATCTAGGCAAGATAATGTGCTACTTTAGAAAAAGTGTCACAGTAAATTAATTTGCAGGGAGTGAAGGGTGAATTATAAAGTATTGCCTCTGTCACTCTGTCCCCAAGGCTAGTCATGGACATTTTCATAAAGGTGGATTGTAAAAAGAGAGCCATGTTTGATATCAGAAGTTGGGTCTGAGACTAATTTAAATTGCTTAAGAAGCAATTAGTTATGACATAGTCTCCTGCATTTCAACCCCTAGAGGCCACCGATATGCCATTCTTTTCCTTTGAACCAAAATATAGGTTTCTTTTCATGTCCAGTGATTTCAATTTAATTTGGCTGGTGTTTTCTTGACAATGGCCCTATAACCAACTAGGAGTATGAGGAGTCAGAGCAAATCCTACCAGTCTGAGGTGTTTTGTTTTGTTTTCTGGATTAAGAGGAAAAGAAGAAAGCTCACCCCTGATTAGAGAAGTGGATGAGTTAGGGTGAAAAGGATGCAGAAAGTAGAAAGAAGATAAAAAAGATGCTGGAAAATGAAAACAAAATGCAGATAGCTTGGAAAAAATATTTGTTGAGTTAAATAATAGGAATCGTTAAATCATGATTTCAAAGCTGACAGGAAATTTAGATATTACCTAATCCAAGCTCTTATAAACCTTCTTAGGCCTCTACACTGAGGATTAGAAAGATTAAGTGATTGACCCAAGGTTATACAGACAGTAAGTAAAGAAGCTGGAATTCAAAGTTATGGCTTCTGACTCTAAACCTAGAGTTCTTTCTACCATACGATATTGCCTCTCAAGCAAATTGAATTGCTTTTCAATTAGTGTTGAATTTCAGAATCTTACAGGAATGAGGTTGAAGCATTTTGATGATAAAATACAATAAACAGGTCCAGAAAGAGAACACTTCCAGAAGGCATAAGACCTAATCGGAATAATGTGTTGAGGTTAAAGACAAAAGGTAGTTCATAGAAGGAGACAATTTAAGAGGCTAGACCAAGAAAGTGGAGGAATGAGGAAGAGGATAGTCAACATTTAGGTGAAGTAACACTAGGAGAAAGGATGTTCTGACAAGATGGCAGCATATTAGCCACACTGCTTCTTCACTTCACTGTTACCACCTCAATAAGCCTGGACACTTGGGGTCATCTACTCCAATTTCCTCCTCAATGCAGGAATCCTTTCTAAAACATCTCTGATGAGTGGCCATCCATTGTCATAGGAAAATGATTTTTTCTCTTATTGAAGCGGATGCTTCTGAGTTGTGTTTTCACATTAATAGCAGGTATCCAGAAACCAAGATCAGCCTGGACATTTTGTTTTCTCCTTAGTCAGCAATGTTTAGCTATTTTATCTGCCACCAGTCAAACATTAGTCCTAACCTAAGCCTAGAACTTTACAATTCTTTTTGTTTGTTGTGAGTTGTCTGGGCATAAGGGGATAAAGACTTGGGCAAAGAATGAGAAAAGAATGTGAGTGCTTGCTGCCTTTTCTAACATACTTTTCTTCCCTTTCCAGCCCTCAACTGAGGATGTCATTTATAGTTTTCTCAACTAGAGGGTCGACTCTGATGAGGCTAACTGAAGACAGGTGAGAACTTTCCCCATCTTCAAAGCCCATCTCCTCCAGGGCAGGCTTTGAGGTTTGACCCATTAAGAATTGCAATTTGATTACAGCATTTTGATTTAAACTAAGATAGGGAGGTTTCTGTTTTAATTTGACCCCTGGGATTTTCATTTTTTGCCTATCTATTGGTTTGTTCCTACCCATCCTTTCAAAGACAAAAATATATACCACTGCTTCCAGGAAGCCTTCTCTGATGAACTTCCTCAACAAATTCAGCCCTCCCCAACCTCTCAAACAACATTCTCCATCGTTCTAATCACTTACATAATGTTTTGCATTATAGTTATCTATGTCTCATCCCCTTACTAGACTTGAAGCTCCATGAGGGCAAAGTCAGTTCCATATCTAAACTGTGAATAGCCCTTAGCATCAGTCAAGAACAATCTTCTACAAAGAATAGGCACATAATCAATGTTTAAATCAATCAATTTTTGTTAGACACTACTGATTTTCATTAAATTTGGGTCCTTACTAAGAGATAGTACCCCCCAATTGGATTTATAATTTGGTCTGACGGTATAAAAAAAAAGATGGCAGAAAATAAAATGTTTTTAAATGGCTGCATTTTGCTTTATGGAGAGAAATGCTATTTTTATAAGTAGTAAATGATAAATGAAGGATGTTGCCCAGATTATGACATGTAGTTGAATGAGTTGCCCATTGTCTTAGTCCACCACTACATATACCTCTTACAGGCAAATGAAGACGGACAAAGATCTGAGTTTAAAATAAATAGGAGGAAAAGAGGGGGTTGATCACATATGGATATAAATGCAGCACTTTCAGTGATGCCAAATAGTTTCCTGCTACCAAAAAAGGCAGCTTTTTAAAATCAATTATAGCCTCCCAGTTTGAAGATCACAAGCTCAGAAAGATTAAATATTTATACAAATCATAGGACAATATTATGGCATATTACCAATGAGAACATGAGCAGTATTTATATGGAACATTTCAAAGTCCTTTGAATGGTTTAGACCAGTTTTCCCTAAAGTCCTACTCTGATGTCTCATCATTGCATGGAGATGACCCTGAGTTTTGATGTCTGTGCTGATGGAATTAAAGTTTTGACAGGTCCTACCCAGATGTAAGAACTTTAAGTATGAGTTTAGTGATGGAATGAGTCTATTATCCCAGAACCAATCTAGCCAAGTACAGAGAGATCATCACCAGGTTTGTCACAAGTGATGAAATTTTCATTACTGCAACTAACAAAATTATCAGTTAAGGCATGCAGGGGTGACAATCTGCATCTGTGGAAGGAATATAATTATATCTACACTGATGAAATCGTGTGTCCTTGAAGTATTGGAGTATCTTGTATTAGACAATCTCTGAGGCCTTTTTTATGTGTCCAAAAAGTCAACTTCAAAAGTACATGATGGGAAGGGGAAGCATAATTAAGTAATAATTCATGTGAAAAATACTTAGTAGACCAATAGCTCTATGTAAGTCAACAGTATGCCCTGGCAGCCAAAAAGTGAAGTTAATGCAATCTTAACATACATTAAAACATTTATCCACCAAAACCAGAGAGATGACAGTCCTGCCTTACTCTGCCCTTCTCTGACAACAACTAGTATACTTTATTCAGCACTGGGTGCCAGATGAGGATTGCTAATGAGGATTAGGATCAGGTTCAGAAGATGATTATCCAGGAGAAAATAAAGACTTAGAGGCACATATATGAAAAGTTATCACATGGATAAGAATGAAACTTCTCCTCCTTGACCACAGAAGTTAGAATTCGGAGCAAGAGGTAGGAGTTGTAGAAAGAAGGATTTCAGCCAAAGGTAAGGACAGTTGTTCTAATAATTAGAGTTATCCCAAAAACCAATGAGCAGTCTTAGGAGGTAATGAGGTCACCATTCCTGGAGGTTTTATTGCAAAGACTAAGTGACTACTTCTCAGTGATGTTCAGATAAGGGTTGAATAAGATGATCTCTGAGGTCTTCTCCAAGACTGAGGTTTTGGGATTCTTTATTCTTCACAATAATACTATTGGGTAGAAGAAAGCAGGTATCATTTCCATTTGATAAGTGAGGTAAGATCACATGGAAACCCAGGCCTTCCCATTTTAGTACTTTCCCCACCATACTCTTTTTCCAGACCACATTGCTAAGAATCCGGACCTTCTGACTCTTAGTTGAGGGTTTTATTTTTTCCTCTTACGCTTATTGTTGTTTGGACTTCATTCTTGAAGAGGACCATAACATCAGGGAGGTGATGCCACGACTTGCGAGTGAATTAGATTTAAGTGAGGCAGGGCTGTGCAAAATCACCAGCCTCACTTTCTCTTCCTGAGCCATCTGAATCCAGTGGCAAGATATAGATCAGGATGGCTAAAGATGGCCCCCTCCTACAATTAGATGCTTTCCATAGAATAGGGAATAATCGAAAGAAATGCATTACCGTAAGACTCCATTAAATCAATGTCTCTCCAATACTTCGAGCAGGATATTCCATCTATACACAGCACTACAGGTCTCATCTGATTTCTGTTTCTGCATGAATGCCTATTCTGTGGGAATCCTGGGGGTTGAATGCTGAAGAGTATTCCCTCATCCCCTGCCCCCTGGTCCAACCCTCAACCAAGCTTTTCAACTAATTGCTTCTAGTTCATTCCACTCTATCCACACACAGCAGGAGTTTGGCAAAGCAACAAAACCCATTAATCACCAACAAGTATTTTTAAATGTTAGATGCATAGGATCCCTGAGAGGATAAGAGTTACAAAGTCCATCCACAGGTCAGACGATGAGATTCCTGACCCATTTGAGTTTGCCAAGCTAGTAGAACTGTTGTCCTTGGAAACCACTTAGAATGGTTCACCATGCCTTTGCTTCACTATTCCCAGGCTCTTACACTAAGAGATACTACTTTACTCTATTCTGCTGATTGATTCTGGGCTGGATAATAGTCCAATGACATCCAGAAATTATTTGCCAAAGTCCACAGGGGTTTCAGAATCAAGAAACTGACTATCCTGGCAAATGAAATGGAGACAAGTTTATAAAGGACTCTTATGTTCAGTGAAATATTCTAAAATTTTACCAGTCCATTAATAAGCTTTATACAGGGACTCTCCTACTAGAAAGTGTTTCTTGGATGGGCTTACTATGAGAAACAGGTGGGACTTTTAATAATAACTCACTTTACATAACAATTATAATAGTTCATATTGATAAGGCTTTAATCTTTTCAAAGTACTTACCCCAGTATGACCCTATGAAGTAGATGGTACAAATAGTATCACCATTTCATAGCTGGAACTGAAGATGAGAGAAGTGAAATAATTTGCCCACTGTTACAAAGCTAATGGGAAACATAGCTGGGACTTGAACCCAGGCCCTCTGAGTCTAAATCCTTTAATAGTTCTGCTATATCACATCTTTAAGCTTTTCCAAAGTAGAGATGCAAGGATACAATTTTATCTTCCACTGGAAGGAAGGAAGAAAACAAGCATTTATTAAGCACCTACTATGTTCCAGACACTGTGGTTTACATATATTATCTCATTTGATCCTCACGATAGCCCTGGGATGTATTATCCCCATTTTATTTGCAGTTGAAGAAACTGAGGCAGACAGACATTAAATAACTTGGCCAGGATCACACAGCTAGTAAGTGTTTGCAGCCAAATTTAAACCTAACCACCTCACATCTATTAGTATAATGCTTTTCTCAAAGTGCTTTCATGTCCATTATTTCTTTTGATCCTCACTGCAGCTGTAAACTAGGTGGATTATCAACTCTACCTACCTTCATTTTGGACACAGTGAAACAGGCTTAAAGAAGACATATATTATTGTTGTTGTTTGTCCTTCATTCTCAAAGAGGATCATGACATCAAGGAGGTGATACCATGACTTACAAGTGAATTAGATTTAAGTGAGGGAGGGCTGTGCAAAGTCACCAGCCTCACTTTCTCCTCCAGACTCATCAGGTCCCAGGCCATTCTCTGCCTCATTTCTTACCTAGCCTTAATCATTGAATGGGCATTGCCTCAGTCAAACTGAGATCTGTTAAAGACCTTAGCTTAAAAAGGCCAAGATCTCATATTGCATCCTGGGCCATCTCCAGTTGTCCTAACATACACACACACACACACATACACACACACACGTATACACACATACATACATATATGTATATATGTATGTATATAATGCATATAATACAATATTATTTATTATATATTATATACATAATATATAAAGTATAATATATGTAATATACTATATATAGTATGTGTATATATAATTATATATTATAAAATAAATACCTAAAGCTGATGAATTCTAGTTTTATTTTTTCTCCTGTTTCTTTTATATTTGAGGGTTAATAGGCAAAGAATTATGTTACAAACAAGTAAATCCAAAGGAAGGAGAAGCAGTAATCCACCTCCTAGGATTATTAAAAGTTTAATTGCTGTTGTATAAACATAATCATTAAATTACTTTCTAGGGTATGAATGTTTCCACTGAAAGCAATTCCACCGAAAGCAATGTTTATTAAATCATTTCTTTTTAAATTGTTCTTCTTGTAGTGTTTTCTCTTAACTTCCTATGTTGAAATTAACTGTGGATTGTAGAACCATAGAGATGGAAGGGACCTTAGAGGCCATCTTTTTGTCTCCCTAAGTGCCAAGCAAAGTGCTCAGCAAATAGAAGTCGTTTTAACACATGGTTGCTGAAACTGAACTAGTCCAAACATTATTTTACAAATGGGGAAACAGAGGCCTTGAATCAAGAAACAACATGCCCACTGTCCCATAGCTAGCTAATGGCTGAGGTAGATTAGAACCCTGATCTCCTGCTTCTCAGCTTAGTGCTTATAGGATCTCAAGGCCTAGAGTTGAAAAAGATGATCTCATCCTTCAGATGATCCAAAGGAGGGCCTCAGTTCACACATTTTAGAAACTTTTGGTCCTTGAAGGTTAAAAGATAAGGGTATATAGCTAG